AAACTTCTCTACTCAAGGTCAAAACAAAAAGTCTGTTTCCCATTTAAGCACAAGCCCTTGCAAAAGATGGTGTTCACTTGCCAAATTTCATAAAAAAGATTTATCCACAACATCAATATGAATATAATTTTTCATACTAAAATACAGATTTATTTTAAGGAAGTGGATAATATTTGTATTACATTTTATAGGCCCCGATAGTTACATCTGGTCCTTATTTATTTAAATTTTATTCAGCTTGCATAATATTTTTGCTTACAGTTATATTCTCTAAGATCAGAAAAGCCCAAACCTGAAAATTCAATGGCACTATTCATTAACATTCCTTCGGTCTGCAGTCATAGACATTTGCAAGCTCTCCTTTGATTCTGAAATAATAAAACTAAGGTAATAAGATGTTTAGTATAAAAATATATGACTTAAGTCAGAATGATAGAAAGAGCTATGTTTCTATGGATCACAGGCCAAAGCAAACCAAACTTTTTCAAAACGTATACATGCTCATTTTAGAGGGAATAATAAAACACAGAACTACATACTAAAATGTTAACTCTCTCACTCATTATTTTATTAAATACAAAATATGAAAATTTACAATGTACAGCGCATAACACAGGTTATAAAGAACGCGTGAGATCCTGAAGGCACATGAGACTTGAAGTCCAAAGCCAATGGTTTCAACTACCAGCTAGAAAACGGCTCCTGGATCCTTTTCAGTACGTCCTACTGCTTTTGTACACTTTCAGATTAAGTTTTATGGTTGATTTACGCTCTGGAAAGACACTGACTTCTTACAGCAAGCCTCTGCTAAGCAAGCTAGCCAGACGGTCAAGTAAACCCTTGCCAAAGATCTACCAAATACTTGATTTGCAGAACCTTCTGCTTTAATCCCCATTTGTGATAACTTGGGTACAAAGCAGTTGGTTTCCTCTGTGCTGTTGCACAATAACCTCCTCCTGGAATTATGATGACCCCACCATCTTCATTTTKCATTATCTAACCAGGAGTCAAAGCAACTTCTCACAGCAAATGCACAACCCACTCTGCCATCAGGCTGCCTTCTATTTTATAAATGTGGCTAAGAAGTGGTTAAATACTTTTCCCTCACAACCACAAACTTTTCCTCTACAATACTCAACTCACGATTAAAAACCTAAGAGTTTCTACGACTCCTTTTTGTTTTGTTGCTCCACTCTTCGTGGAACAGCCTGAACAGCACTGGTATCTACATCCAATATATTACAAAACCCCTCCTGAGGCCCATAGCCTGCTTTTCATTTGTAGCTCTAAGGTAAGCATATTGCACTGACACTGTTGAGTCTTAGCTGTATGTGATGACTGCTCAAAAAGCCTCACAGTCCTCAGCTCTGGGTTAAGTAATAAAGTTATTTTTTGCGTGATTCTAAATATAACCAGGGCAGGAGGAGCAGAGTGGGGAGAAAAGCTCCAGCAGGTGAGAGTCTGTGCTGCAGTGCCATGGGAGCCACACGAGTCCTCACGTGCAGGTACCTGAGCATGGCGCAGAGCAGGGCCGGCACCAACRCCGGCTCCCTACGGCAGGGAGCTCCTCGCTGCCCTCGTGGTCACACGACTTAAAAATCCTTCCCTGGCCTCAACTGCTGGCCCTGCTGCAAGATGTGACTCACCTGGACCGGGAGAATAAAAGGAAATATTCCTTGGTGCAGCTCCACGGCAGYGGTGCCCGTTCCCTGGGCCTCCGGAGCGGTGGAGGCCGTGAGCGGCCCTTCCTCGCCTTCCTCTCCCAGTGCTCGTGCACGGAGTGTTAGGTGAGTGCCTGCATATTCGGTTACTTTTTGGAGCATGGCTAAGGTGTTTCAGTTCCCTGGATTTGTGAAAGTTTGTGTTTTATAGATGGAGTCCCGTAAGTTTGTTAATTACCTTAAAAAGACCTTTTATTAAAGCCAGCTGAAAGCAAAAAAAAATCTACCATTTCAGAATGACCTGATACAAAAATTATATGCAAAAGATCCATTTCTGTTGCTTTTAATAATAATAATAAAGACAAAAGATCAGGAATGCTTCTTTCTTTCTCTGAGCTTCAGACAATATACACAACAGCTTTCCTAGCTGCTCTACTTCCAGTTTGTCCTAGCAGGCCTACAAGTCTTTGCTTTAGAGCACAGGAGCCTCTGCAGAACGCAACTGCAATCCAGATAGGGCACATCCATACACCAAGACACCATCAGCCTCCAAAACGCTGCCTGCCCTCCTGCACGTCCAAGTGTCCCCGTCAGCCAGGCAGCAAACAGAGCGTCAATAGCTGCAGACAAGCAGCTCAGGCTCGAGTCAGTGAGAGGGAAAACGGTGCTCCCACCTACCAGGAACATCTTTGCATCTTGGAGCAAGGCTTGTTCACATACTGCCAAGGATAGAATCCCTGCAAATTGCCAATCCTGATTTATAAGGAACGGCTGGCTGCTAGCTGGACAAGACGTAGCAGCATTCACTCGCTCCTGAGAGATGACCAGACAACCATGAGCAGCACATCTGCAGGAAAACCACGATGTTTTTCTTAAGCTGTTCCTTGATGCCCTGTTCCCAGCCCATTTCAAGAGCAAACCACACTAAGTTTTTGGCAAAGAGAGTTTCAGAGGAAAAAGCTCATTACCTGACCTAAAATATTTTGCTTGAAACAACAAAATACTGTGAACTGAAAGCAGAAAAACTAAGCACGGCACGGTTTCCTAAATTTATGGTGAACCACTGGAATACCTGGGCTGCCACTCTGCTGTCCCGTGGGACCAGTTTGGTGGTAGCTTTGGGCTAACTGGTCGTGCCAACCCTGGCTCGCTGCCAGCAGCGCTGAAAACCGGAAGCTCTGGGGACTCCCCATTAAACTACAAGTCTTGGCTTGTCCCAGCTCAGTTCACAAGAGCCCCGAGCAGCTCGCTGGGGTTTCCAGAGCCCAGGGCTGCCGGCACTGCCCTGGTGACCTGCTGGAGCCAGGGGCGCCGGCAGCTGCTGGTGACAGTGACATCTCTGTTAGGTTTATAGCTGCTCTAGTCGTGGTGGGGCTGATGAGCCTGTATACATCATTCAACAACAGGGGGGTCAAGAGGGCCAGACTGTCCTGGGGAGCACAGCTAGAGCCCAAGGCCTCTGTTTGGGATGTTTCTGAAAATACCTTTTTTTTTTTTTTTTTTAAATTCCCTGAGAGTTACTTTTACAAGTTTGATTGGACTACTACCAAAAAAAGAAAACAACAACCCACAAGCCCTCACAAATGGAAAGCGCTGTATTGCAGCCAGCTCCGCTCCGCGGCTTAATTGCTTCAACGGAGAGGCCATGTGCGCTGTGCAGGCAGGGGCGCAGGAGAAGGTTAAATGAAAGAGAGCAGAGGAAGAAGAAAAATGAAAAATCAACCCTTAGAACAGGACCGAGGGGACAGCACTCCAAGCATCAACTCTGTGAAAACAACTTTTGAGGACACATCTTCCTTTCCCATGCCCTTTCTACAGCTCCTTCTTYCCAGCTGCTGCTCTCCTACTCCCCAAGGCTTGCAGCCACAATCCCCATTGCAATACATCCCCTCTGACAGCATTTTGTTCGGCTGAAGCTTTTTTAAAAATAAATTTAATGGGATRTTCTTCTCAACGACAAACACTTAACAGGAGGTAAGGCATTGCTTTGCAGCCTCCTGAAAAACTTATCCTCCCCTCACACAAACTGTGTATTTCAAGTCGCCACTTGGTGACTTCTGATGAGATTCCTAAGGTTATGGCTTAAAAGCTGTGCACCATATTTCATTTTAAGCAGTACTTCTCCTTAGCAGGCTGCCAGATTTATTATTGCAATACGGGACTGCACATCATGCGTCTAAAATGACCCCAAACAACTCAGAAATGAGCACTGTCACTCCACGCAAGCCTGTAATCCTTTAACCATTTTTATGGCAAGGCCATTTTCATGYTGCACGTACAATCCCTTATGCTCTTGCCATGGCAGCCTCCACTAGACAAATCCCACTGAGGAATAGCTTCCCTCAAACTCTAAAACTAATAAATTAGGTAAAAAGGTAAAAGCTCAGAAGCCAAAGCTTCCGCAGTGGTGATGTGCAGGGTGGCAGTGGTCACGCAGAGCGGCTCCGACCCTGCCAGGCCTGCTGCTGATGCTGTCCCCAACGGCCCGGATCCAGGACACATCGCTGTGTGTGCTGTTTTGAGCACGCCAAAGGGAGCAAATCCCTGCTTCACACCTGCAGAAACAGGCCACAAATAGTGCTGCTCTCACTCCGAGCCAAAAAATCACCTATTTCAAAACCACCTAATGAGTGAACCTCTGCAACAGACTTGTTTACTGAGGGAACTGAATTGAACTTTTAAAATTCAGACCTGGCATTCTGTAAAACAGCATCTCTTACACAAACAGTGGAGAGGAAACAGCAAGAGCAGAGGCAGAGATGAGAGGTTTAGCATAACCAACTTGCTGATTTTACACTTGAACTGATACATTTTAATACTGCTGAAAATGTTTTTTTTTTTCAAAACAACACAACCAGACATATATTAAAAGAAACAGAAAACAAGATTATCTTTGCTTCACCTCTGTTCAGCGAGGGCTTTTGCTGGCAGGGATATATATCATACTTTGTTTAAACACCTACTAAGCATTTATATTCTCGAGGCGTTGGCGTTAACCTTGCTGAAGTAGCTCTATCTCTCTGACATTTGTTTGTACTCCAGTCCTCCTGGTAACTTACTGCATGAAACTCTTAATTCACATGTGCTAAGAATATTTGCTTGTAAGTAATGACAGAAGACATCACAGAAACACATGCATTTCAATTTAAATGGGTATAGAAAACACCAGATCTGATAAAAGGCAAAATTATCAGTGCGGTATCAGAGACTGTGGCTGTTTGCTGCTGAACTCATTAGAGCACTAACAGATTAATGGCATCATTAGTTTCTACATTTTTTATGCCTTTTTTCTCTCACTCTTTAAAATAGGCAATCAATGCTAGTTGAACAGAAGCTCACCAGAGGAGTGTCTTTCCCTCCAACGATGCTGAGACCGAGGCCTGATCGACCCTTGGATATCTCTATAGTCATCTCCTGCCCCGGAATGATAGGACAAGTTGCTGGATCCACAGGCATCGGAGGTGGAAAGAAGTCTAGGAAATGAAAAACAAAGAGGTGATTCACACTATCAAGAAAGAAAACAAAAACGGCTAATGAAAGAATATGAGAGCAATTAATTAAGTTCTCATATTTTGCTCTTCACCTTTATAAACCTAAATCAAAATAGAAGAATATTTTGAGTCACCACAGAGTTTCTCAACATCTGGGACAGTGCTCACTTCAGATGTGAGCTATCCAGTTCAGACCACAACAGCAAAGCACACTGCATTTGGGTTGGATGTGGCAATGGCATAACCCACTGGGACCAACGGTGTTCCAGATTGCAGTACGTCCAGCCCCAAAGAAAGTCAGGCCATTATTCAGACACGAAAAAGGAAGCTATCTCAGGTATACAATACCACCGCATTGTCAGGACCTATTCAAAGGCAAAAAGGCAGGACAAGAACATTCCATGTATTATTAGCAGCATCACACTGGCAATATGGAAGGAAAATATCTGCTCACTAATGCTCTAGCCTGACTTTTCATTGTAATAGCTCACTGGATGCTAAAAGGGGAAAACATCCCCTATGTTAGGGTACCAAATACATATAGTGCCGAAAAAAAGTAACTCTCCATACTATGGCTGTTGACTTCTGCCTCTGGAGAAAGGTAAGTAGGTGCTGGCACCAGGGGTATCTCCTGCAAGCTGACYGGTACTTTTGCTGAAGACTTGGATTGCTTGATCTGGTTGATGACCTGAAAACAAAGCAAAGCAGAAGCAACATAGATCAATTATCAACAGCTGATATTGTCCTTTGCTATCGATTATCATAGCTTACTAAATCTGCCAGGATAACAGGAGGGAAATAAGAGCAGGAATATGTGATGAACTGAAAATATGCTCTTTAAAAGTAAATGGCAAATCAGGTAGACCAGATAACTGTGATTGCAGAAATGCTTGTGYAGTATGGACAAAACTTCATCTCTGCCATGTCTCTAAAACCAAGCAACTTGCAACTTTTTTTTCCTTTTTTTTTTGAACAGGAAAGAACATCCTTGCTGTTASCCAGTGTGATTTTTTTTCACATGCTTAAAGGGAAGCAAGACATTTTTGAATCCCTCTCCCAGCCCCTCAAGCAAAATTATTTTAATGCTTCCTCAAGTAAAAATCACTCTTGTAGGCATAATYTTCAACTGAATCAAGCCCCCAGAAAATCTTGCCAATTAATTTAAACACACATACATTTTCTGGGAGCTGCTCCTCCACTTCCTGCTGATCTCCCAATGATGGTTTCGCAACTTTGTACTTCACATCCTAAAAAATAAATTTAGGCAAGTTAGGTGTACTGAAAATATCATGTTAAATAAAATACCCACTAAAACTATAAATGACGGTGCTGGGAGAACTCAGTGATACTGCAGCATACAAGTACACTTACAGCACAACCCAGAGCTGCAGCTAAGAATTCAGGGAAGAATTAACAGAAATTTGGGGGAAGCTACTAAAATCAAACAAACAACTCTGAAATTTTGAGGGTTTACAATAAAAGAAAAGAGGAAAAAAAAAGAGGACATGATCCCACATGTCTATGTTGTTCCTGAGAAACTGGGAACTCTCCAAAGGACATGGGCTGTCACAGGACAGCAGTTGCCATGCGAAGCGGGAGCAGATCCCAGGTTCCGTGAGGAGCGTCCAGCAGAGAGGCACCTGCACAGGCCTGTCAGTGCCTGCAGCCAAAAGAAACTCAAATTCATCTGTTCTCCTCCCCCTCACYCCTTCTCCTGGCAGATCTCAGCAGCACGGAGCCTCCTGCCGGCACTTAAATAAAGTAGCTGCTGCTAATGCCTCTTCCCATCTCCTTACAAATACCTCAAACAAGGGCGCTTCAGTCGCAGGCTCCCCTGGCATCCTCATTTTCTTCCCTATCCTTGTAATAGACTAAGGGATGTTTTTCTCTCCTATTCCTCTCCTCCTCCSGTTTCCTACAACTGCCAGCAGCAGTTTTGGTATCTGTCCTTTGTAACCTCCTAGCCAGTTTTAGACCACTTTGATCAAAACACTAGATTTAGTTATCTTGCCAATGTCAAATAAATAAAAAAATAAACAAACAAGTCTGAAATCTTAGCTTGCAGAAATGTTGTGCATGTAACTTCAAAAGACAACAGTRATGTTCTGCCTCTCAGAAGAATTTCTTATTAAGACGACAGTTCGTACACACAAAAAAGTATTAAATTTTAAGCAACCAAGCTTGAAAATACTGGCCTTGTTTCCTGAAGTTTTGTGAAATTAAATTTCCCAGTCAGCTTTCTTCCTGACTTCTTTTTTTCTCTTACACTCCAAATTTGCTCTACCTATGACTGTTATCTGTCTGGATAGCAAGAAAATCAAATCAAGTGATCTCACCATATTATCAGAAAGGTGAGAGGAGAAATGGAAAAATTGTTTTGTCATTTTATGAGAGATTATTATAATGAAAATGAAAAAACATTTCATGCCTTATTTTTTTTCACACCATATTTCTTCATTCTGACACATGACTAAACTCTGAAACTTCCTCTCGCACATCCAGTGGACACTGAACATCACCTTTAAAACCACCTAATCCTCCCCATTTACACCAGAATGTGTTGGAGGCACCTGGGCAAAGCACAAGATTTCTAATCCCTCCTGCACGGGATTATATGCTCCCAATTGGCCATAAACCTGTGACCTAGCTGGTTTAATCTAACTCAATGCCCTCAAGTGCATCCAAAAGCATTTTTGTAGAGTCCCTCCAATTTGCTGCTGCTTCAAGGACGTGTTCTCCATCTGTGCTGAGACACATCACTGCTCCAAGCTCAAGTAGGTTATGGAAAAGGAACCTGTTCTCAAGAAGCCAACATCCACTCAACTCTCCCACCCACAGGACACTGCGTGATGAAGACTCTCTGCCAGGACACTGATAGCGCAGGGTGGGCATGAGCACATTCAGCTACCACCCAAATCATTCTCATTTTAGTAAAAATACAAATTCTGACAGCATCATTTACTAGAGTATCTAGGTACCTATGCATAAATATATACACACACACACACACACACACACACACACACACACACACACACACACTTTCCCTCCTTCCCTGCAGCAACCTTAGAGAAACCTCCAAAAGAAAAGATGTTTCTTCCTTAGAGAAACCTCCAAAATCTCCTTAGAAAATCCTCCAAAAACCATAGTTTTGTATCAGGTCATCTCAAACATCAGCTAAGGAGTGTGCATAGATTGCCCAACATTTGCACTGGCTCCTGCCCAGGAACAGAACTGTTTCATTCCCGTTGTCATGCAAACCTACAATGATGTCCATTACATAATTTTATATTTTAACAAGCGATGAAGTGACAACAGAAAGTATCTTAGGACAGACTGACAAATTTTTCAGCTACAAATGGATTCAAAATGATCTGAATTTTTATTATAGCTGTCACTTGGGTCAGCCTGTCCACGCTTTGAAGTGTAAACCCTTGGGGAAGATTTTTGCTGATAAGCACATACTTTTTATTTATTCAGTGAACTTGATCTTACATGTTGACTTTCGCATTCCAAATGTCCCCTGACATATTACTAAGAAATTCAATGACAGTGGCGAAGTGGCATTAGGCTCTAGTGGCAACCATCAGGGCTTGAAAAACAAGACACTTTTCCTTTGCCTCAACAGTCTCTAAAAGATGACAACAAAAATCTCTTCTCTTGAAGATAACRGGCTGCCCTGTGTCACACTGCAGTGTTCAACTCAATGCTCATACGACCACAAACCCGTATCCTTCTGGTCAGCAGGGACTGATCACAACCAAATTCTACCACTGTTTGCAAAAAGTAAGGTATCCTTCCTATAATAATCGGCATATCTAGCTGTGCAATCTTAAAATTTTAATTGAAATAACTCTTTGAAATCATCATGCTTGTGGCATTTCTCTCTCCACTGTTTGCATCCATTTATGCCTCTGAATTAAGAGCTGGCCCATCTGAAACCAACAGGGAATGCGTGGTTGGATCTACAGACATTCAGAGGCTTTTGCAAATCCCCCTCCTAACCATTAAGTTTCTGGTATCTACTCATAAAAGCAACTTAACAGCTATTTGACATCACAGGAAAAATGTGAGTGGAAAGAGGAGCCAGTTTCTTTCCCGCTGTCCATATCAAGTTAAGTGTGTTACTGCTATTTCCCCCACAAGGGAGTTTTTCAACAAAAGAGCTTTTTCGTTTTATTCTGTAAGTCTTAAAACGTTGCTTGGAAAACGAGCAAGAAGAGTAGCAAAAGCAGGCAAATTATACCTGCAAATGCACATCATAAAGCTCCAATGCATTCATCTTCAAGCCCATCAAAGCTACAAAACCCAGCACAAACAGCCAACTTCTTCTGAAATCCATCAAGAACACAGACAAATCAGTTGTATATAGGTGGTTAATACACTTTTTTTTTTAATTTGATGAACTTGTTATTAAATGCTTATTGGTAATTGGAGATCACATACATTCAATTCATATTTGAAATACTCGAGGCAGTCTAACTTTCAGATTTTTGATAACACACAATCCTGACATATTAAACAACAAAAAACCTCACGTGGATCAACAAGAAGTTCACTATTTATTACAGCGTAGGCTGACAGTACCACATTAAACAAGTTATGGGCTTGAGGCAGAAATTACTGAGGAAAACCATACAGCTCTTACTCAAGAGGCAACACTAGACCATGAAAATAGCCTCTGTGGCTTTGGAATTTATGAAGCTATGCATATAAACATGAGTATGATTTACAGATCCCACTTTTTTTCTGAAGTTTGTCACACATGGGTGGCAAGAGCGAAAACCGAATCTCCTCACTGGAAAAGAGTCAAAAGAAGGACCTAGCACTTCATACAAACTCTCAACTCAATACTTTAGCATATTATATTGACTTCTTAATTCCACAAAAAGACATGAACTGTGCATGTATATGAAGCTAAAAGTTTCATTCTCCTCTCACTTATATGTACTGGATGCAATTCTACAAAAAAGACCAACATAAAAATAGATAGAAAACAAATGAAGCCAAGAAGTCTCCATCTTCTAAGCTCCAATCATAACTAAATACTACTTTAAAGCCACTTACAGCTTTGATGGATTCCTCATCAGTCAAACTTTTCATGACAACTTCCAAGGTGGTGTCTTCTTCGCTGTTCGCAGGTTCAGCACTACCATGATCCTAGCAGAAAGGATTAATGCCAGTTTTAAAGACACGACATGATCCCCTATACTAGCTAAAGATAAAACCAGACATCTTGTACCTTCTTCTTTCATTTTGTTAAACAAGTATCAACACAAAGTGTGTATATATATATTATATATATGTAGAAAAACATATATAAATATATATATGTGTGTGTATATAGCACAGGTTAGAGTCTTGCAGTCTGGAGCAAGAGCCAAGGCCTGGTTAGAGCCAGGCTACAGCACGTGGCCTATGAACTGCCCAGGCTTATGCCAGCACTGGAAAAGGAGCATCAGCTTCAAGGGTAAAGGCAGCCACGAAGTTCAAGCTCTTCTGTGAATTCCYGAGAGAATCCTGCTGCTGCAGGACATTATAACTGAAGGAGTATCGAGTTTTTTTCTTTCTGTACAGGAAGCCCCACAAAAATGGCCCCTAACATAAGACATCTTGTTCTAAACAGGAAAGTTTGTCTGATCAGGATTTTCTGGTATTTTCTCTACATAATAATTAGGAAAGATTTAAGAAGCATGTTTGCAGGAAAAATGGTTTCCTTCCTGTATTAACAAAGTTAGGACTTATGAGGAACTGCATATTTTCAGGGAAAAGGCTGAGTTTGGATCAAATTGGGAGCCTCTGATCCAAATCAGGAGCTGTTCTCTCTTGCAGAGCAAAAGGGATTTTCTACGACATCAAATTTCAAGATCATCATTCCCAGAAGAGAAACTATTTCTGGATTCTCATTAAGCACTGTTCAATTAAAGGTAGGATTTCACAATCAGTGTCCCGAGCATCATCTGAGAGGCTCAGCTACTCCTCTGTTAGTGAGACCACTATGGAAGAGGCAGCTTCCCCATTATCAACACTTGCTGAAAACAGATATTTCTGACTAAAGAATTACAAGCTCAGATTTAGGATTTAAGCTGAAGAAAATTAACATTATATCATATAGTAATTATGGTACCCTGATTAGCTGGCCTTTTTTTTTTTTTTTTTTAATCTGACAGCTTTCATGTATAGAATAAGTAACACGTTAAGTATATACTTGTTTTTTCAGGATATAAGGAACAATTTTTTTCTTTTTTTCTTTTTAAAGATGTGAACAGTTTGCAAAAGAAAAGCTACTTCAATTTGTATAAATCCACTTTACAGGTTAAGACAAAAGAAAGTCTGGTTTCTCTGGGCTGGGACTGCAACAAGAGGCAGTTGGCCAGAGAACAGAGCACAACTAACTAAAGCTTTGTGGCACATGGTGAAGATTCACAGATTCACAGAATATTTAAGGTTGGAAGSGACCTCTACAGRTCATCTAGTCCAACCTTCCTGCTCAAGCAGGCACACCTASAGCATGTGGCACAGGRTGGCATCCAGGCGGGTTTTGAAGACCTCCAGAGWAGGAGACTCCACAACCTCCCTGGGCAGCCTGTTCCACTGCTCTGTCACCCTAACAGTRAAGAAGTTGCTCCTCACCTGGAGACGGARCTTCTTGTGCTTCAGCTTGTGGCCATTACCCCTCGTCCTATCGCTGGCCACCAGTGARAAYAGCTTGTCCCCTTCCTCCCTGCATTCTCCCTTCCTGAACTTATACATATTAATCATATCCCCTCTGAGCCGTCTCTTCTCCAGAGAAAATAGGCCCAGCTCACTCAGCCTCTCTTCRTACGAGAGATGTTCCATTCCCTTAATCATCCTGGTTGCCCTTCTCTGGACCCTCTCCAGAAGCTCCACGTCYCTCCTATACTGGGGWGCCCAGAACTGAACACAGTACTCCAGGTGMGGCCTCACCAGAGCTGAGYAGAGGGGCAGAATCACCTCCCTTGACCTGCTGGCAACACTCCTCCTGATGCAGGCCAGGATCCCATTGGCCTTCTTGGCCACGAGGGCACACTGCTCACTCATGGTTAAYTTGGTGTCAACCARGACTCCCAGGTCCCTCTCCGTGGAGSTGCTYTCCAGCAGGTCGACCCCTAATCTGTACTGATGCCTGGGGTTATTCCTCCCCAGGTGCAGGACCCTGCACTTGTCCTTATTGAACCTCATGAGGTTCCTCTCTGCCCAACTCTCCAGCCTGTCCAGGTCCCTCTGGATGGCAGCACAGCCCTCCGGAGTGTCGGCCACTCCACCCAGCTTGGGTGGAGTGATCCCGATACTAAAAAACAGTAGGAAGAAAAGTAAGGATTAAAGCATCAATGATTAAACTTGGCTGTGCAAATCACAGAGGGAGCTGAAYCCAGCCACAGCAGCAGCTTTCCCTTGGAACATGTTGCTTCTATGGGAGGAGGGAAAAATCTGCCAAAGCAGTATCTGAAAATGAGTTGCAGCCAAACAAAAACCAAGCAGCTCTTGCAGTCCCAAGCTTGAAGGTAGCTATAGATGCACCRGAAGAGCCATCCATGCTAAAGCAACTGCAAGTGTCACCAGATTAGCCAGCATTCCCTACAAGGACACTGAGCTGCAGGATAACAGCAGGTTATTGAGATAACTGGAGTCTGATGTCCCAAAATTTATCAATTCAAGGCAAGTCTAAACCTGGATGGAATTATACAATATGTTTTGCTTTAGGAGCTCAAATAGAAACAGAATTAAAAAGTAACAGCCAACTAACCAAATGCTTTATCCACAAAACTGCGTTATGCTACATGGGCATGTCAGAAGGGTGACAGTGTGGGGACACTGCAGGAATTTGTGATGCACAAGACAGCAGTCAGTCAACACTGGGGCTCAGACAGCAACTACAACATGACCATGCCGAGGAAGGTGTGTGTCAGACATATCTACTGCGATACTGTGCATGAGAGCTCCCTGTCTAACCACCTCACATCTGCTCCTGGGGTACAGGACCAAGCTGTTGGCCACCCTAATTCTTTTTTATGGATGCAGAGTGGGAGATAATTCTGCTCTGGTGGATGTGGAGAGGACAATGTGTGAGCCTTCCCCCCAGAAATGCTCGGTTCTGTGCTGTGGGAGGATATCGGCATTCCAGGCAAAAGCTCCTCACCTTAACTACTGCAACAGGCTGAAAGAGAAACAGATTTTCATTCAGAGATTTGTTTTCTCCCTGTATGACAATAAACACTTTATTGGCTGCCACTTTGTACCAAGCCAACTTGCAGCAGTGATGAGAAGAATAAAAGAAAAAAAAAGGAGGGAGTGGGGAGGTAACATAACTGTTGGGTCAGKTTTCTACCCAGCACGTTATGATCTACAGTTTAATTGGATAAGATCCTTGAATTTATAATGAACAGCTAATTATGATTAATCTATCCAACTCAGCAAACACTAATTAAAAAAAGACAACACACCAGTCTTACCTCAATAGAAGAGTGAGAGCTGGAAGGCAATGGGAAAGGTGTAACAGCCATCTGATTGACTGCATCTTCATTTCTGTAAAACAAAAAGCAACACGTTAACACTAAACTGTAATGGCCAAACTTCTTTGAGTTGTTTTTGCCCTTTAGGAAAACACTATTACCAGTGTAAAAAAAAAAAAAAATCTCTTTCCTAAGCCTCTGCTTTTGATAAGAAAKCACTTCATTTTCTGCTTGTGTTCCTTGCCAGGAAACAGACTGCATCACTTCTTGGGACCTCAGTAGTTTCCTCTGAGAAATACTAACTAACAACGTATGCTTTGGAAATCCAGTTTAGTGTGGATTGCCAGAGGATGCATTTGGATGTATGTTCCCTATAYATCAATATGGTGAAGAAAGACTCCCAGGAGGAACAATTCAGGCTGCCCGTGCTAAATATAGAAGGCAGATTCATACAATGCACACCACTATGTCCAAAACACATCTGAAAAAGCAGACAACTAAAAGAACAAAGCATAGGAAATTAAAACATATTTTTAAAAATTCTATATGTATTCCTTTTTCTCCTAGCACTAATTATTCAGAAAGGAAGTTCTTCAAATCTAACATTTAAGAATGTAATATTAAAACTAGTCTCAGTAACCACATTATGCAGCCTTTACTGAGCTCTACCTTAAGGTGGAGGTTTTGACTCCACAAATCCTGCCTTGCGAGCCCTTKGTGTGCTCATACTTAGGGAGCCTCCTCTAATGCTGTCTATATTTAATAGCTTCTTTATACTCTATATGCATTGCTGAATACACATTATGTATCAGTTACAGCTATTTATCAAAATACTGTACTTTTTCTGTTTTGTTCATATATTTTTTTTTCCCTAAAAGAATCAGTATAAAAACCTGGAACAATTTTTTAGAAAAATGTAAAAAAAAAAGGTGATGAAAAATAAGGTGATGAACTTCAACTCCCCTATGCTTAAACTCAGCCTTTTTATTTTTCCATAGATGCTTATTATATATGGTGGCATCTTCTTTAATGTGCAATCCCAAGAAAAGTTCTTGGGAGGGAAGGGAAAATACCTTCACAGCTAACTTTCAAAAGCCTTTTTTTTTTTTTTAATTAAATACTACTCTGCCTCATGATATTTTTATTCCAATACCATTTACAGTTACTTGGCTTGTGAAATGAGCTCTGCATTTTTGGCCTTTATAAAACCAAACCAAGTAAAATATGATTTATGTAATATTGTTGTGATATATGAGATAAAAAAAATACTCCAAATTCTGCATTGAAAACTGTATTAATGCACATTTTCTATTCCTTGGGTGAGCACGGCACAGAGGCCAGGAACATGATGCAAAGCTGGTTTTGCTAAGGGTTCAAGGAGGCCACCCAACCCTTGCTCACCCAGCAGCGATGGAGGAGGAAACAATAACGTCACTTTGTAAAAGCGGYGTGTGAGATGACAGGACTTGACTACTCATGCAACAGGACCCCTGGGTTTTACCCATTATATTTCACACCGATATTCCCCATCATTATATCCCCATCTGTATTTCAGGTTACCCTACCATGAGCGTTTTTCTTGCACTCTTCTTTAATTTCTAGAGGAAAACATTAGCCTAGCACGTGTTTAAAACCACTTAATGGAAATRTCTGGAAGCAAAAAGTCCTATTCCAACCCTGAAGAGTTAAACCCATGAAGCCTGTATGTGCCGATCACTGAAAGACAACACTATAAATCAATAGCTCTCAGCAGAGCAGAGGACGGGAAATTAAATCACAGGCATTTGAAGTGATAAATCCCTCATGCCAAGGTTGGGGAATTCATTTACTTATCTCCAAGCAAACAGCCCCACGGTTCAAACAGACGGATCCCCGCGGCGCTCGCGCTCAGGCGCCGCTCTCGGCCCCGCTCGGAGCTCCGCAGCCGCGCGAAACGCSGCGAACGTCAGAGCTGCCGCAGCCGGCGACACCGAAACCACTCGCAGGCAGCCGGGGGGATCCTCAGAGTGGCAGGGAAGCCAACACACGCATTTCATGTGCACTCCACAAGTCAAGTGCTTCCCTTTTAACCCCGTACAGTCTATTAGGCAGGGACGCTTCTCTTCCTCTTATCTTCACGATACCGATCTCATGTTGCTTTCTCATCTGTAAGAATAAGCCTGCAAGTCTAAGGTGTCTAAGACAGCTAGCAATTTGTGGCCAATTATAGAGGTTTTTCTGACAAAGCTCTGCATGAAGTACAGACCTCATGAAAACAAGGCCCCATATCTACCCTCACCTTGCAGCTGCAGAACCTGCAGGRAGGAGCAAAGTTGAAAAATACAAGTTCTTCATGAACAGTTGAACTATCTTTCTGAAAATTGCTACTCCCAGGCTTCACTACAAAGTGCAATGTACCTAATGACATAAACTAGGTTCTCCAGTGTATGGGCACACAGCCTGGTAAGTCTCATCATTGGGCTAACATTTTTTGCAGTCTTAAATGAGAGATGTTTCTACTCTGTACAATAAAAGCTTACACTCACTGCTCAAGGAAAAAACACCCTCAAATAAAAGAGCAAAAAGACACTCAACCCCTCAAAACACAAGGTTGCAAATGCCACAACTTGCAATCTCTCCCTGTTCAGACTCATACATATTTAAATATTTCAATGCTGCTTCAAAGGAGCCTTCAAAGTAGTATCAAAGTGGGAAAACATTTTAAAGTGACTGATCTAATAATAAATTGCTCTTTTTGCTCTCCAGATCCGCAAGCATTGTTGTTTAAAACATAAATTTATTTCTAATGAAGAGAACCAGCTGAGAAATCTGATAATATTCAAATTAGTGGCCCCAAATGAACATTCAAGGCTTGCCAATAGCTGCTCTCATAACCTCGGAGGAAGCTGCTCGCGGTTACGTGTCTGAACCACGACCATGTAACGCTCAGCATGTAAAATACTTGTTCTGCATGAAGAAAGAGACTCCTCGACTGACTCATCCTGGCTAAGGCAGCATCCAAACATCCTCTCTAGCCAGGACGGAAACAAGACAACTCCCTCAGCACCTAAGTGGGCTAATTTTGGGTTGGATGCACTGAATCGCCCTAGGGAGGTGCTGCCAACTGTTCTCTGATCACAGAGTAAGACTAGGTGACCTCGAGATGGTGAAGGGACATGAACCTGCTGAGCAACTCAGCAACAGGAAAAGGATCATTTCACAAGGGGGCTGTGGAGCAAAAAATGATACCTCACCTGCAACTGCATATGTTAGCTAGAGACTAAGACTTTGAGCCCAAGGAACTGAATTCTACCCGGTGACCTTACAATTCTCAAGGGTTCTGGCTGGAGTACCAAGCTGCACAAGGCCCTGAAGATTATTAACAAACCCACATTGTCCATTTCCTCTGTTTTCAGCAAGAGAAAAAGGAAAAAGGGAGACCAAGATTTCCCATTTTCTCATCTTTGTCTTTCTACAAAAGCTTATTTGGAGAAGCAGAGCTGCAGGAAAGCTGAAGATGGGGAAGGCACACAGAATTTTTGCTTCAGATGGATGAAGACAAGATCTTTGTACTGTGCTCACCTGGAAAAATGTTTCCTGCTAACAGCAGGCTCTGTCTTGTTCTTCATTTCCCCTCCACTCAGCGTTAACTACATAAGAACCAAATGAATACACGGCCTTTAAATATGTACTTAATGTTCACTTAACCTGCGCTTCAGGTCATGAAAGGTTGGAGAGGGACCAATTACTTAATTTCCCCGACTGTGGACTTGTTCACACATATGGGCTGCAGCAAGGAAACAGCTCTGCAGAAAACAGGAAAAGAATTTCCAGCCCGTATACCAAGCAGCTGGCAAAGGTTTATTTTCAAAACTTTTCCACATGAAAGAACCCAGTCAAAACAACTGAAAAATTGAGCTTGTAGTATTAAAATACAATCAATTATATAAGCTAGAATGAATTTAAAGCAAAAAAATATTGCCAAAGCATGAAAATACCTCAATTCCTGGTAAATGAGATCACTTACAGAGGACCTAAAAGTAGAGTGAAGATTCAGTGATAGTCACAGCCATGGCAAGTGTGAAACTGCACCATGACTTTCTCCTTTCCCTGTGAAATGGTCTGATCTCCTAGTCCCTGTCCCCGCCTTACCCATCCTCAGACAAAATGCAGCAATCTCATTTCATGTCACCATAAATAACAAATCATTAGCCTTAAAAACTACACCTAGAATGGAGGGAGGGCTAAAGGGACAGAGAACTGTGGGTTTCGATCTCAATCTCTCATTGCATCATCACAAAGCAGTGACAAGGCAACTCCAGGGAAGGAAAGCCACTGGAGAGCTAAGAGATGGTTCTTAACAGGGCAAAATTCTGCAGTATTTTACTCTTAAAGAATTCCTCAAACTATCCTTTTTTCTTAAGAGAAAAAAAGGTATACCTAAGAATGAATCGGAGGACTGAACTCAGTCTGAAATGGTTCAGGATCCATCACATTGCCTTTGATGCAAGCGTTCAAACTACATTTGCTCTGCTTATTATCCCAACACCGAAGCACCGAAACAGATTAAAAGCAGTTAATTGAGCATAGACAAAACATGAAATGTGCTGAATCATAAAATTCTCACTCTAAAAGAGTATTCSTATATAACCTGGATTTCCTTCTACAAATGCAAACCCTGATGACACTGCTTTCTTGTGATTCTGGGAAGGCTGAATGTACAATGCATGCCCAAATAGTCTGCTGGGTAGKAAAACTGTCCTGTTTTGGGGGCTGTGGCATTGAGATGCCTGCAAGAAACAAGTCCCTTTCTCAGCTTCCTGCCTGGCCGATTCTCAGTATTGCAGACTCAGGTCAAGAATTTCAAAAGGAGACTAAGACATGTACATGTCCTGTTCCTGATGTCCTGTCCTAAGACATGGACATGTCCTGATCTCCACTCATATTAGTGTGTTACATGCCCTTGAAAGCTGCAACCAAATTATTAGTAGGTATTTCTAGCATTGGGAAGCCCAAAAGACAACCTGCATTTGCTGCAGCAGCTCAGAAGCTGCTGTAGCAGCTGTGAGACTTGCARGCCAGGTAAGATGTTCCTGAACACAGGAAGCCTTTGGATGGAGCCAGTTCTTCAGAAAATCACGTAGCACTGGGGTGGTTGTTTTCCTTGCTTGCTGAGTTGTGYGAGCAGGCTGAATACCTCCAAATTTGTTACTGTACAGAGCAACAAAACATGAGATGCACCGAGCCGGGGGGACGTGAGGAGAAGCGATGACACTGTAACTGCAAACCTATTATATGCTATTATAAGCTTATGTAGCTAACGAGACCACAGGGAAACAGGCCTGTGTTCATACCCACATCTTGGAACCTGGCCAAAATCAACTGTTTTAAACAACCACTGTCAATTTAATGGTGGGAGAGATGCTCATAACCCAGAGGGAGAAGCCTTCAGGTATAAAGGGGGTCTCCCAGCACTTGCTGCACTGTGCCTCACCAGTAGAAACATGAGGAAAGGATGGGAGTGCAGTTGTAACACTACCTGGATATATAAAAAAAAGTGTGAACAGATTTTATAGATCAGATTTTGAGTTAGGAACTTAGGAAAGAAGGGAAAGAAGGCATCTTTTCTTCTTCTTTTTTTTCTTTTTTTTTTTTCCCTCCCCTTAAAAGTCCAAGCCCAACCAACACCAAATCATTTCATGATAGAAATTACAGAACTTGTTCTTACAGAGAGGCTTGAACTTCTGGACTTGTTTTTTGTAACTGCCTAAGGAGTTTATGGAAACATCCCCCTGCCCTGCACAGCTGTTTCCAGAAAACTGCAGCCTACTTGGGTCTTCTACTGCTGAAAACAGAATCCAAACATTTTCACACATATGAAGGCTGATTCCAATCCCCTCCCAGTCCCACTGGTAGTAGCAGTCCCTGTTGGTTTTGGCTATGTTATCCTGTGGTTCTGTGGGCTGTAAAAATTCCTTTCCCTTAATTTTTTAGGAGAAATTTGGATTTTTTTAGATCAGCTTTCTGGTCAGCAGGTCAAGCTTCTGAAGGCATCAGTCTGCAATTGCAATAAAATGATTTACTGTATTTTCCTTTTGGCATGAGCTTTTCCCCTTGACAATATAAAAGGAAGCTACACTGGTGTCGGTGCTCAGGAAGAGCAGRACATTATTTCTGTTGCAAGTAGCTCTTCCTTGTTCTCCAAGCAGAGCCCATGTAACGGTATCCTGCTCTTTCCACACCATTAGAGCCGACAGGAAGATATCTGAAGGCAGCCAAGCAGCAAAGCTACCAGGAGAGCTCCCAGCCTGCTGCACTCAGCACTTTGTTCGCAGCTGGAAAAGCTACTGCACAAGCACACAGGAAAGATGGATGGGGACCCAAGATACCTGTTACTCTCCACACTCAGCTGGGCTGGCACCATAATTCATTAAGCAGGGGCATTTCGGTATCTGCATTTTATAACACTGTTTTAAAATACATCAAGCATGGAAGTTCTCCTACCAAACCATAGCACTGACAAGACCCCTGGGACCAGCAGTTTCTCAGTTCATGAATTCAGTCAATCTTAGCCACTAACTTTGAGGTCTAAGTTTTAGCAAATTGAAGCACCAAGTGAAAAGGGTTCATGGAATGTGCTCGGTACCGGAAAGGTAAATTATTCTTCCACCTTAAAACTCACCTGTGAGATCCATGGTCTAAACTGGTATTTGTGAAATTCTGAAACACCTCTTCTCCATGAGCAGCTTTTCCTGAGTTGCAGCCAGTGCTCTCCCAGGGGACAGTATTACTCTTCATCACTAYTGCGTGGCTGCTCCAGTCTGGACAACAGACTTACCTGCTGTCAGTGCACTTTAACGTGCAGCAGGAAGCAGGGACAGGCTGTATATTCCTTGGAATTCTGGAGACCTCAGTTTATAACCTCAACAGCAGCATTTAAAAAGTGAAATTTCCTTTTATTATTTTTTTTTTTAATTCCCCTCCACCCAACCCGAGGGACACTAACAAGACYTACCCAACAGCCACTGTATTTCTTTATGTTAATTAGGAACACTGTGAGAGCTTCTTGCCTTCCAAATTACTTATTCACAGACAATCTTTAAGAGGGAAATTACGAGCAAGAGCTTACATTACCCTTACTACTTAAATAGTACAAAACACACTGGGCATTTCCAATCCAAGGCAAACCACATGTTGGGGAGCATCTTTGCTGCAGCCCTGCTGCACAGCAGGGCAGGTCCCCMAGGTGCTGCCCTGCAGCACTAACCCAGGCTGGGGCTTCAGTTTCTGCCCCTGGAGCTTCCACACCAGACACATTTTCCACATGCAATTAAGTAATGGCGAGTGAGTTGTTGTACATGACATTTAATTCTCAGTAGCTGAAGAAAGTAACACAGGAGCTGCAGGAAAGATCATTAATCTTCTCCAGATCCTCTGTGCTGCCAAGTATAGCAACTCATTCTTCATTGCACTAATGCTGCTCTTCCATCATTTCTGTGTATGCTGTACCAGACAGAGCGATGCCAGTAAATGTACACATTTATATGCATTCACYCTCCCAATTACTACATTGCTTACAGGCTGTGTATGAGCAAAGGATACCAAGCTATATATAATATGATGCATATGCTGGGAAGAAGACCACATTGTGGGGGATAAGTGCCCAAAAGAAATCAGAGCTGATATAGATATATTCATGAAACTCCAAAATAACAACGCATGTATTAGCTCTGAAAGAGAGACAACTTTTTCCCTACTYAGGGTCATAAGAGTAACAACAAGAGTCTCAACTACAGACCACAGGGGACACATGCAGSGGTCTTAGCTGACCCATACACTGAGAGGAATGATCGGAGTAAAAGAAAATCCTTCTAAATCTTATGCAGCTGAAAGATGACACGTGTTAGTGTGTTCCCTCCTACACAGTCACCACAGGGCTTTCTCGTTGTCAAGTTTCTCTGTACAAACAACTCCACCTCTAAAATCCTAATCCCATCCCAAGCTATTCCTCACCTGTGCATCCAGCAGATAGCCCACACTTGCCTGCCCTTCCCGCACGAGCTCCTCTTACCCGTGCACCCTGTTAACTCCCTGTGCGAGCCACGTTGTGGCAGGTGCCCAGCCCTTCTCTGTGCTTCTCTGCAGCGACCCACCTGCAGCATCCTGGTTAGCTCGGGAGGAAAAAAGCTCTTGCCAGGGGGCCAGGGGGCTCTCAAGCTCAGGAGGGCAGCTTAAGTTTCCAGCAGACATCCCCAAACAGACATTCAATTACAATTACATYAGATCTTATTTTCAGCATTACTAAAAAGAACTCTTCAAAAGCTATGRGACCATTAGTCAAGGAAAAGCTTTGCTTCACTTCAAAGAGAACTGAGAAGATTCAGCACTCACAAAATGAGGTCATGAATGTAGCGAGCTAAAACATAAATATATGTTTTGAAGAGAACTGTCTTACCGTATGAAAACTAGCTTGACCTTTGATGGGGCAGTCTTAATTATTGCAGAAGCATTCTGGTGACTTCTTCCATACAATATCTGATTATTTATCTGTCAAAACAAAGCGATAATTTTTGTGAAAAAAGATTTAATGTCTTTTTTATTCCTAATTTATAGCACACAACGCAAGACTTCTGAACTTATAGTGGGTTAGYACGGTAAGACTCAAAGAAAATATGGGGTGCAAAATGGAAGTCCCATTCCTTTTGAGAGCTGTACATTGTAATAAGAGCTTTCTCCTAGGAGAGCTGTGCTCTAGAGACACATCACTCATGATAAGCACAGAGGGAAACAGGTACTACGGCTCCCTGTCGTACTCAGCTCATTTCTGGACTCCAGGGCTATTTTCCTTTCCTTCTGTTCGTACCAGGAAGAGGACAGGAATTCAGAGGCAAAATTTTGCCTGGAATTCARAGGCAAATTTAAGTGAACTCTCTTACCATCCCTTGCAGAAGGGTGATGACTTGAAGCTTCTTCTCATCCCAATTTTGACCACAAAAATCACAGGCCTAGATTCGATTTTAAAATATTACGTTTTCAACATCGCAGTCACTAATTTATCCACATACTGTATTAATAACAAGCATTCCAAGTTTTATTTTAGACTGATATAAAATAGGAACTAACACAGAGATAATTTAGTCTTGCCAATAAGCCAGCAATGAGAGCAATCTTTAGTGTCCCGTTACCTCATAGACCCATTTCCAGAAATGGAAGTTTTGTTTATAGATTATTTGAGGATAACTTGCTCTGCCTGCAAAGACTCATATAAATAGGACAAAAAAAAGACCAAGACAGACTATCTCGTACCTTGAGGCAACCGGCAGCTTAGGAACAGTTGCTAAAAAGACTGTGGCGATTCCTCATTTCCACTGAGGGAAACCAAAGTGAGGGCCACGTGTGGCAAGAAGAACAAGGATGTGCCCAACACTTCTGTCATTAAGGAGCAAATACCTAATTACAGCAATAAAACCAAAGCGCTACCTTGGGCAGCTTCTCTGCACACAAACAAATGCTGAAGATTTCTTAGGGAGAGAGCATGGCTCTAAAAGCAGGTGCTGCAGGCCTTGGTTTTCTTTAGGAACCTGAAGTTCTTTCCCAATTTGAGGAAAATGGGATATCTCCTCTTAGTGTCACGCTCAGCCAGCGAGCTTAACACAGCCAACARCTGTCTAAATATCCAAGATGAACGTAATCATTATTTTCAAGCCAACCAGACCTATAATCGGTGTCAGAGCAGCAAASTGACCTGCAGCAGCGAGCGGGGACATTTAAAACATGTCCCTTGTTCCACGAGCAAGCCTGGTGGGCAGCAGGACAGGGCAGGACACTGGGCTCTGCAGGAGGCTGCAGCGCTGGGCACCGAGCACCCAGCACCACGCCGGGCTCCAGGAGGCTTCACCGAGGTGCCCTCTGCCCTCCCCGTCCACGCTGCCAACSCAAGGCAAGCCTAAAAACACGCAGCAAAACGCATGTTGAATTGCACCCTGCACCCAAAGTAGACTCTAATATTCAGTGATGTTGTGGACGTAATTTCGCGCAGTTTAAAAACAAATTGTTCCCTGGGAATACTGTGTGTTTTACAAACTGCTTGGAGTTAGTTAAATTAGCATCATTTTTTCCAAACAGCACACTTTTCAGATTAGAATTTATAGTCTCTGCACCAGCTAAATTAATCCTATTCAGTAGATGCATCAAATAGTCCAAAATTTAATTAGCTGTGAGCTGGGTCTGTAAGTTCTAATTATTTAATTATACAAAAATGAAAGGGTAATCAAAGTAATATATCTCCACAAGGTTTTGGACCATCTAACATAAGTTATTCCAGACAGTATTAATTTTTCTTTTTTTAAAAAGGTTAATTTCTTTTGCAAAACAAATTGACGTTGTACTGGCTTTAGAGGAGTGAAGCACAAAAGCTTACCTTAAAAGAAAAAAAGAAAAAAAGAAAAAAAGAAAAAAAGAAAAAAAGAAAAAAAAGAAAAAAAAGAAAAAAAGAAAAAAAAAGAAAAAAAAGAGAGAAAGAACATCTAGGATTTCATAAGCATCACTATTATAAATCTCTCAATTTTATCCAATTTAAAGAAAGGATAAGTCAGATTAACCAAAGGAGTATTCTAGGAGTCCAAACTTACAGATCATGCTTAATTTCTCACACTAAAGATGGACATGGCTTAAAAAGCAAACAAATAAACCAACCTCTTTCTCTAAAAGAGAAGAAATAAATTGATCTAAGTTAGTCTTAGCTCAGTGGATGCTTTGAATGCATTTTTACATAACTTCTTGGAAAGATGGAGCAGAGAAAAACCTGCCACAGATACGAGGCCAGGTCAGCACACACAGGTTTTAATGCTGGATCCTTAATATAACTTCACAGTGTTTTATGGCTCATTTTAGCACATATCCCAAATTTACAGCTGCCCGCACCTACAAAATTTCTGTTTTACAGCTTCACACACTAAAGTAGCAGGAAAGCAAAAATGCACTGAAATATGAACTTTTAAATTAAGAGGAAAAAAAACTGAAGGGATTATTTGCTTCTCAAACTTAAATTTGCAGAAGAGGAACATTTGATATGGATATTAAAAAGGAGTTTTGAGTTTACTAGGTGGCAGTAATGTAAACTGATGAAATTAATAGCACCTGACTTTTATAAAATCATGTCAAATGATACCCCCAAACTTGTAAAAGACCTGACACACAGATTAGCTTTCTATAGTTATTACTTCTTTGTAACAATGCTTTAAGTTCCTTTAACCACAGGAATTTCAGCATTTTTGGATTTAACTGAATTCTATGAAACAATGGGAAAAGTTTCAAAATTCTTTCCTAAGTCGAATTATATAAACTGAAAATCCACACACACACAAAAACCCCTCAGCTAATCAATCTGAGAGAACCTTTGAAAAGAAAATACAATCAATTAGAATATGAATTCTTCCTTCCTCACTCTATTTCTTGCCCAGCACACGCTCAAGCAGATGCATCTGCAGGGACCAACAGACCACAAACCCCATAAAGGCCGAAAACCCCCTGCCCTGCAGTGCAATTTGGCTTTGCCTCATTGACCAGGCAGCACCTAATCCCTGTTGCTTCCTACATAAAGGACGGAAAGAAAAAGGGCAAAACAGCAAACTGCAGATTGCCCAGGCCCTCATGGACAACAGATTTTTCRGATCACAGCTTTATGTAATTTTCATTTTGATAGTGATTATCTAATTTTAATAGTGATTTTGAAAAAACACTATCTAACAGTAATCTGAACCAACAAGCCCTAAAAAGTCTACRAAAAAGCATCTGTTTGCTTGTATGAAAAGACCAAAAGGGCGCTATACCTCTACTGCTACCTGCAGGAAACGAATCTCAAAGACAAAAGTCAAGCTCTAATCGTATGCTTTCAATGGAAATTGAGGGAAAAAAAATCACTTCTGAGATAGTGATCTAAGATGACTTCTTTTGTCAAGCAAAAGCCCCTCTCTCTTTCTATGGACAAGTTACTATCCCTTCTGGGATGTGCTACTTGCCCAAACCTAAGGAATTCTCTTGAAGTAGAAAACTAAAGAAAAAAATCTCAAATCATGAACCCCCTCTCCCCCATCCAAAAGGAGAAGTGACAACATGATAATAGGTAAGTCATTTATTAAATTTATTGGGGGGAGATGGGGTGGGGGAAGCACTGCAGAAGGGACAGGAGCCAGATCTGCAGTGACTCTTGSCTAGGACACCAGAGCACCCAGCAGAAGAGCAGGTCCCCTCCACCTGAGCCCAGGCTCAGGAAGAGGGCAGAAAATCCTACGCCAGCAGTGGGGCTTAGCAGCAAAGGGCTCACTTATTAATAGCAATACAGCTGACTCTGAYGGGGAGATAATAATGTTGGGTGGGTAACACTGGGCCAGGCTGCCTGCAGCCCAGGGCAGGACCACGGCCAAATTAATAAGACTGGAAGCAGAGCAGACACCTGCASTAGCACAGCACGAGGGCGAAGCAGCAGCACCACATACGGTTCTTCTGCACTTCTAAACAGAACAGAAAAGCAGAACTGTGTCTAATGGTAAAAATGCATTCTTGTGCACAGGGACTAGATATTGCCCCAAGTATCTTCTTCCATGAAGAGCATCAAAGTAGGATTAAAGGATCTTCTCCCTCAAATAGCTGTTTTCTTCAGCAGCATTACGTTACAGCAGATTACTTTATCAAAAATTGCACATTAGTGTTAATTCTTAATGCAACCTGGATCTCACTCAGCATAAAGGTCAGACCTACTTTAAAAATGAGCTAGTATCTTGCCCTGTGTTGACTGCAGATGCTAAGAGTGAGATGATAGCTCATTATCTCAGTGACCGAAGAGCCTGCAGATGAGGAGCTGAGGTTGTCTGGCAGCATCCTGCATCCTTCAGCTGAATCCAACCAATTGCCAGCTCAAAAGAAAATGAGAAGTTGAAATATACATAAAAACACACATTAATCTTCTTCTCTTGACAGCCAATGGAAATTATCTGTGGGTGCAGTAGTGCCCAGTGTCTTGGTGGAGAAACACTAATGACCAGCAGGGTTCACTAGGGCAACCAGGACAGCGGGCAGAAATGTTGGAGGTTGCCTAGGACAAGAATCCTTTCTCCTGCTTCACTCTCAAGTATCAAAATTTATGTGTAACTAAAGATGTAGATGCAAATATACTTAAAACACCCAATTATATGATGGGCGAGTTGGTCTGTCTGCTTGCTGTTGAGCAGATAAAAATACTACAAAAACGGGTTCGGATGCTTAAGAATTTGAAGAACAGCTGTGTGTTTYCTGCAGAATACCTGACTCCTGGGCAGTGGCCAGCTGCACTCGCCTATCTGTACGGTGAAGCACTACCCAGAGGAAGAAAAGTTAAGTTGCTCCACCAGTGAAGATGGTCCATCCTAAGCATCGACTGAAGTCAGGACACCTTGGTGCCTTAAAATCGCACTGACACTTTATGGTTTTAACTGGAGAGAACCAATCTGAATTCTCTCATTTCCTAACTTCTCAGGGCTTGAGTTTGCAGAGTCTTCTTTATTGTAAAAGAGGCTGCCAGTATAACTGGTTAACCTCTCTGAGCTCTGCATCACTGCCACGGAAATAGCCTGAAATTACCTTCCTGCCCCTGGTGACCAGTCTACTTMACAAGTAGGAGGGCTCCTAATGGTTACATTTATTGAAAAACCTGCCAATGTCAATGCCCGTTAGTTCCATTTCAGTGCTGTTCACATGCAACACTGGAATGCTTTTAAGGGGGAAAACTCAAAGCTTTGAATAATTGACTCACCGGTGTGAACACGAGCTGTCTGTCCATGACTAATGTACAAGCCCTTCTTTGTAACCCAGGAGGACGTTTCGACATCCGATACATTCTCAATAGGGACCACGTTGAGATTCCCACATCACTTCATGCAAGTGATGACCCTTCTGCCCATGAGTGACACATCTTTTATTTAATTGCAAGGGTAAATGAGAGAGGTGGTTACTGAAGTCCCCCTGACCTTCAGTTTTCTTGTAGTGTGGCCCTCTTGAAACAGGGAGTACCACTTTTCTTCTAATGAAGAAAACACTCATTTTCCCTCCAGCTCAACAAAGAGCTGAGTGAGGGCAACAGGAACACCTCTGAAAACTGCAACATAGCCCCAGTGTGCAAGTCCCAAGCCCTGAAATATCTGCAGTTAATCCCAGAGGGTKCATCATATTTAACAGCAGGTCAAACAACCACCATGAGGAACAACTTGCAAGGTACAAGAAAAGCCCAGTGAGGTCTTCTCCATTGGGAGAGCTTATCAATACAACAATCAACTTTGCCCTGAACTACCTGGTCCAGGATCTATACAGAGGAAAACAGCACCACAGGTCTCTTCCACTGGCATGCATGTGAAATCTGTCAGTTTTATTACTTATTTTTTTGCATTTGGAGTCCAGAACTGGTGAAGAGGAGGAAGTTATTTGCCTAACAAACTCCACTAAGGATTAGAGACTTTCATGCCATTTATCACACAACAAAAATAATAAGTTTCAGATATTGTGATTATTACAGAAAAACAAATCTTTCTTGTATCACGACTTGAAAACCTGTAATTATGCAACTGTTAGACAGCGAAAAACGTTTAGGCAATTCAGAGTTCTCCCAAGGTATCCCCAGGTAGCCAAATTGCTCCTTTTCAAGTCAAGAAAATTGAGAAAACAGTTGGTACTCTGATGCCACAGAGATGCTGAAAGATGGAAATTTACTCCCCAGGGAGAGCAGCGGGTCAGCATYAACCCACTCTTCAGGGAAAGCTTCCCTGCAAAGGCAAGGCCCACCAGGGAAGGCTAATTTTTCAAAACTACGAAGCAGTTGTGATGTGGGGAACCACAGCAGGTCTTGCAGCAAAATGCCATTCTGCAACAGTCAAATATCAGGGTAAATATAAGAAATCAGTGTTTTCAGGCTGAAGATGGAGCAAGGAGAAGGGAGAAAAAGTGAAGACAAAATACTTGGTGATAAGCTCTCTTGCCTTGCAGGTGAGATTGTGYCAAACACTACTAAAGAAAACAGCATGGTAGGCTTTTAAGTTACAGCTAATCAAAACCAATTACCGCAAGAAATTTTACCCTATTTGCAGGATAGGGAATACCCCTGTTATTTGTTTAAAAACAAAACAAACAAAAAAACCCCTACATATGGGAACACCGAGGGGGTTCTGCTGGGTGTCTTTTTTTTTTTTTTTTTTTTTTTTTTTAATTTACAGTGTGAATTTCCCTTTGAAACCACATATACCCTGTGAGGACAGATTTAATATTCCCTTCTTGCCTTTCAACAGTCTCTCCCCGAGAGTAGCTGGCGAACATGCTGAGAGCGCAGACTTCACTGACAAGACATTAGTTTTCCACAGGCCAGTGATTTTTGTTTCACTGGAAACACATTTACCTGCCAAAGGCCACATTCTCAATTGGCATAAATCAGTGCAGTTCCTTGCTTCAGCCACATAATTTCATTTGCAGGCTTTACTCCAGATACAAACCACAGCTTTGCCGGTGCCTCTGCTTCTCTCACTCTTTCCATGTGAACTTTATTTAGCAGCTAAAGAAAACACTTACCTCTAAAAGCTCATCGCCAATGTGCATCCTTCCATCTCGGCCTGCAGGTCCATCGGGATTGATGCCAACTACAAAGATGCTCATGCGAGATCGGTCCTTGTTGCCCGCAAGACTCAGTCCAAGCCCATTCTTGTCTTTCTCAAGCTCAATAATGTGCAACTCTCCTGGTAGGTCTGCATATCTTTGCCTAATTTTTTCTACAAAGACAGAGAAATATAGGTTAAATGTAGATGTTTATGAAGACAAACACACAACGCGTGGATTTTTTCTTAGCATTTGCTTTCTGTTAACAAAGGTCTTTCTAGAGGTCTTTCTAACACGCTATATATATTCTGACTGACCCCTGCTTGGCCTCCTTGCTCTTCCCAAACAGCTAAAGCCATTGAGATAAAGGACTGCTCTCAGGTATCTTTATATGGGTCCTGCTGCAAACAGTCCACCCCGTTGTCACTGTGTTGTTCATAATCCATAAAAACGTCCTGCACGCTCACGTCTCGACAGGGCTCAGGTACACGCTTGCTGTGCTCTACTGAAAATTATTTGCTGTTGTGCAGAGTCTTACTTGAAGCAATTGTCAGTGACAACACGTACCAGTGCTCGGTTTTCTAAATGTAGCCTCGCTTGCTCTGAGGGTAGTTATTTGTCCCGCATCTACACTTCCCTGACAGAACGCAATGTATTTCCCACRTGATGTGGATCACTGGGACCGGCAGATCCAAGCGTGCTGACAGCTGCAGCCAAATGTCCTCTCGGTGCTGGCACACAAACAGCTGTAACTTTTGATTACTCAGGTCTATCACAGGAAGGGTAGTATTTTTTCTGTCCAGTTGTCCTTTATCAGCTTTGTTCCAACTCAGATACGTTTCTTAAATCCAGCTTAGTAGCATCAGCTGCATCCAACGCTGCAACTAGGCTACACACTAAAAAGGCAGACGAGGAAATTTTGCCAYGACTAGATACCAACCTTAGCACAAAGCGCAAGGTGAAGGAGAGCAATGCATTATGCATCGAGAAGGAAGAGATCCTGCACGTTCAGCCACAGCCCCGAGTCAGCAACAGCAGCGGGATCAATATTAGCTATTACCATCCCACCACAGGGCAGCATATTTTAACAGAATGATTTAACTGCTGTAGTGAATGTTTCCATGACAACAAGGAAGAGGGGGAAAAAAAGGAGGGAAGGTGAAAAAGGAGCCATTGGAAGTGAACCCTGCCAGGCCTCCCCTTTTCCCTAAGGCACTTCCACATGGGCTGTCCCAGCTGCTGCACCCAGGAATGAGGACATGGCCAATGCTCCCCTTACTTTATTTTTAGGACTGTATTTTCCTGCCTCTCTTAAATCCCTGCTGGCCTGAGCATAAAGAGTTGGGGGATACACATTAAGGATCAAGCGTCTGCCCTGGAAAGCCAAGCCTGTGAAACTGTTCAGAGCTCTGCACAAGATCAGAGTACCACACCAAATCAAAATCCCTGCCCATTGCTATTATATGCCCAAACTCATATAATTACATTAAATGGTAACAAGTGTTACACGGTTCTTTAATACACATTTTGACTCCAATAGTTAAGAAATAATTAGGGGTGTCATTCACTGCTTCATTTGGAAAGTGTGGTTTTGCAGGGTGGTGTGCAGGCTATCCCCTGCAGGAAAACAGGAGCAAGGTCTTGGGAATGGCACCAAGGAAAGTGCAGGGAATGCGAGCGTACACACTGCCTGGGATGCTTTATTCACATGGCTGAGGTCTCCCTTTTTCCATTGACCTGAGACCACTACGAAGCTTTTTGCCCCCTGTAATTAGCCCAGACCTGCGCTCATTACAGGGCAGCAGGCAGCTTCACAGTGCTTCCTGTTGGAAACCATGAGACCATCAGGAATAATTCCCAGAAAAGCACTTGGGGCAATCAGAGCAAAGGAGCAGCGCTCCAGAGGGGCACAGGCGGCTCCTTGTTGTGTCCCTGCTCCATTCCCATGGACACCACACCTCCCATGCACGATCTGCAGCAAAGCACGCAGGGCCAGGCACGTTCCTAGCAGCTCACCATGAGCTGCGCGGAGAAGGTGAGGAGCAAGGACAGAACTCGCGCTTGAATGCTCTACAGTGTGACTTGAGGGATGGGTCACATTTGTCAGCAAAAGTCTTGGTGGTGCCCGAGCTCAAKGCTGGTGGTGCTGGACGTGGTGGCCAGAGCGGTCTCCTTGAGCCGCAGAGCCACCAGCAGGGACCATCAGCATCATGAGCAAAAGTTTTTTGAGCAAAAAAAATAGATCAACACTCCACAGGTAGCAACTTTTTTCAGTCCTCTTGATTTATTTGTTAAAAAAAAAAAAGTAAAAAGCCTCTTTTTTTGGGGGAGTGACCCCCATATATTTTTGTTTGGGGAACCAGGGGAAGAGAAGAAAAAAATAAAGACATCCTCACACCAGGGAAGACATGAGTGGAGACTGCGCCTTTTTGCAGTTAGTGCAGGAASGTGGGAGGCCACGAGCTGCTGGAGCAGGGAAGCGGCGGGAGGTCATGAGGGAAACAGGGTGGGYGTCGCACAGGCCGGAGCGCTGCACAGGCTGCTCCGTTTCTTCCTGCAACGGCACCAGCTCCGGCAAACGCCACCTCCACAAGGAAGGGCTCCTAGGGCCCGTCCTCGCGAGCGAGCTATGGCTGCGTGATCCCAGCACAGCCTTCCCCGTGGAGCATCCAGCCTGCATACGAATACCCACCCAGCTGACTCCCTATAACATTCCAACCGCAGTCTCACCTCGCACCTCTTAAGGATCTCATAAAATTATTTTAAACAAGTATTTCCTGCCTAACCCAATACCCATCTACGGCATCTCCTCCRTAACGCCCTTTTCAGCTGCTCCCTCTCCCCTCCAGCTGGTACCGTGTTGCAGCCTAGCGCCAGGGAGCCCGCCAGCATCTGCTTGTGCAGCAAATCCCATTATTTGCCTTCATTAGCTGATACTTCACACAAGGTAATTGCGATTCTGCTGCTCCTGTGTGACACGGGGGACGTGGCATTCTCCTCTCGGGCACTGCCTGGAGTTGTTTCCAGCTTTGGTGACAACCTGCTTACCAAAACTTCAGCAAACATATCACACCAATGATAGGCAGTGAGCTAAAACGGAATCCTCAGTTTCTTTTAGAAATACAATACAGATGTAATGTGAACTAGTAGCACTAGTACAGCCTTTAGAGATCACTGCTGCAAGGACATTTCCCAATTATAACAGCAGGCAACTGCCCTGGAAATGAAAAAGGCCCAATTTCAAGCAATGCACCTTTACGCTGCTGCATGTGTTGTCCCATTCCTACTATATTAGAGAGATAAAAGAAATAAATGGGAAAGATATGCTCAGAACGTTTGGATTTCCATGACCTTGTCTTGCAACAGATACACAATTCATCTGTRCTGAAAAACAGACACTGCTTCTCAGGAAGACAAGAGGCTCTTTAAATTACAAAGATACCTAAGAGTCTTGCAAAAGGCTGAGCAACCTGCTCCCCAGGGCTGCTCAAATCTCCAGTTAAATGAGCAGAAAGGGAAGGAGGGTCTCTCTATAAATGCAGTCTCTCTGCATGGTGCACATTAGAGTCCATCTAGAGAGGTAAAGAGGAAAGAAAAAGCTCTGGATGACTCAGCAGTGTGACTGATTTTGGCACCATGGCGTGAATATTAAAGCTGCCAATGCAAAATATGGAAAAGGAAAGGGAGGAGGAAAAAAACACAAAAGGAAACGACAGATGATATTTGTACACAAAAGGTGATAGATGCTGGGCTTTTCCCGTCTCTCTTGCAATACCTCAGATAACTGTTAGCAACATATGCTGCCTTTTGGAGGCTCTGCAATGGTCTCATTTATCAGCCTGTGCTAATGGTCCCCAGCTACCGCTGTCACTGCGCGGCACGAACGCTGCCGAGATGTCTCTGCGCGGGCAGCTGCGCCGCAGCAGCCCCACCGCTGCTCCTTCAGCAGCGACACACATCAGGATGCAGCCTGCATCCCCTCCCGGAGCAAACCTTGCATGTCAAGCAGCTAATTCCCTTCTTGGTTTCATTATAAACATTAGAAAAAAAAGTCCCCAGAAAGCTAACACTAGAGCTGTGAGGGCAGCACTTCTAATTTCCTGATTACAATTTACAAGAACCTAAATAAGCATAGTTAAGGGACCATAATTGAACAAATGGGGTTTGGTATTTTCCCACTACTAATAATATAATAAGCTTATTGTTTTAATCTTCCCACTAGCCTCTATTCAGCTCTAAGGAGGCAGACAGTTCTCCAAACCTTATCTTAAAAGTGRTGCAGTCTTGTGCTTTCATATGCTTTAAATTGAATAATAGAGAGAAGGTATTTTCTGTAATGCTTTCTTAAATTTCATGAAATCATACATATTCTTCTTTCAGTGATCAGAAGCCAAGAGAAAAATAGTGCGGTTCTRTTCAGATCCAGCAAATCCCAGGGAAGAGCCAGAGATTGTCTCCTTTTTGGGCGGCAATGAGGGAGGCTGCTGGGACCAGTTCCTTGCAGATACTGGAGGCAGCTCCAGACAGGTAGTCAGTATTCCTGTGCTGGGGCACCCATCTGATCCAGAACTTGGCAATTCCTAAAATCCCCCTTCAAAAGTCACACAGTCCCCTTGTCATGGCTCTGCTTTGTCTACATTTGGAGGTCGTTGAGTAAGAYTAAGTGTGACTTTCAGAGCAAAGTAACACCCTGCAGCATTTCTGCTCTGCTTTAGCTTCAAGCAATCCCCCCCAATCCCAAGTCTGGTAAATGCAAGGAAGAAAGAGCAAGTTCCCAGGATAAACAGTTGTACCTCTCCTCCTCCTGCCCCAAGTCCTGTGAGACAAAATAAAATATTTTAAATAAATGCAGGTGAGAACACCTGCACAAGGCAGCCATGCACTATCAATATATAATGCTAGCAGTCTCTTGCAGGAGCTGTGCCATATGGACACACAGACATCTCAGAAAGGCCAGCTAAAGTCAGGGCTTTCACACTCCTGAAAACACCCAAGCCAAAACCCAGTGCGCATTTAACACTTAGGAGTCAAAGTTCTTACCCTAACTTGAGGACTGCTTCTTTTCTTCCTTTCTTTTTTTTTTTTTTTTTTTTTTGTGTGTGTGTGTGAAGAATGCAGGGTATTAACTGTGGTCTCTGCATTTCATCTCTAACTGCTTCCTCCAGCTCAGACT